AAAGCAACAGGTTTCTGAATTTGCATAAATTTCATCCTCATTCGAAGACCGACTCGTTCTAACCGAGTAATTCTAACCGAGTAATTTTCTAATGAAAAATTTCAATAACCATAAAACTATAAGTTATACAAAGGCGAATCGACCTTAAACAGCTCGATTCTAATTATTTCAAATATAATAGCGGTATAGTTTCATCTAGATAGAAACGAAATAACGCGTATTAAAAAGATATAACTTATCTATCTACGAAATCCACATAAAATGAAATTGTAAGGTAAGCTGTATGCTCGCACTTTAAAGATACTACTCGTAACATGTAATTATCTTCGTTTCAGCGACTCCTCGACAGCTGCACTGTTTTTCCGATCCGATTGCTTCCTCTTTATTCGCGATCTCGATCGGTCCCGGTTACGATCATTAAGTTAGTCAAAACTCATCGATCTTGAAATGCGCGCGCGAAACGTCCAATCCGATCGGAGACTAGGTTTTCTAAAACGAGATTTATCATCCGTTTCTTTATATTTTATGTCTTGAGAATATCTAGTTGCTACGATTCCTTCTGTATAACACATACTTCTATTTTACTACATGAATATTTATGAGGATCACCTTATACGTTACGAAATAAATGAACCTATTAAAAATCATACGGCGGAACGAATGGTGCGAGCGCTACGAACGGATAAAGCGGGCACTTTCGTTTCTTCAAAATTTAGAAAATCGCAGCGTATGGATGAAAGAAAATACGGTTATTCGTACTGTTATTACTCGTTCACGTTCGTGTTAATCCGAGTTTCCCACTTCTTGGCCCACTGAAAGTCGGTTCACGCTACTTTCACCGCAAGACGCGCAACATGGCCAAGTCGATCCGAACAGCGAAGATCTAATCGGGGAAAGGACAGCGTTAAATCTTTATCTCGATATGCATCTGGACGAAAGACTCGCGTGGATTTAACACCGAGAAACCAGCGAAAATAGAAAATAGAAATACGATTCGTCGATGTAAATTTATCGAAAAGAATGCCATAGATGAAACGCCGCGTCGACGCAACATTTGCTCTTGCAATCGGTCGATGAATTTACTCAAATGTCGCATGCTTGCTCGATCAAAATATATTTGATAAATGGCAAATGATTGCAATTCTAATCCGGTAGAACATCGATGTATTTCGTTCTCGTTAGAAACGTTATTCTCCGATTGTTTTCCCTTTTCAGTTCGTTCCTTCCTTCCCTTTTCATTTCCAATTAATCTTTTTTTTTCCTCGCGCAAAGTAAAAATAAAATGTATAATTTTATTAAATAGAAAGCGCAGTGCTTTACGTAAGGTGAAAGTCGGCTTTTATATAGGTGCTAATAATATTTAGCGATCAAAATTCATGTCAACACGATTAAAATTATTTCCTCGTTGATCACTTGGTAGTATCGCTTTAATTATTTTACTTTGTTTGCCATTTTTTTCCATCCCAGAATCATACATATTTTATTTAAATGGATAAAATTCACACGCCTGTTACGATTTATAATACCCTGCGATAGCATTCTATCGACTGACGTTCCATCGTTTGATTCAACCTATGTTAAAACGTAATCGCTTTACTATCGTCGAACGAAGATAGAGCTGCGTGATAATTTCTATTATAGCTATTCTATATAAATTTAGTCGTGCAGCATCGAAGAATCTAATTATAACAACACGAAATAATGTACGTAACGAGCAATTTAATTGGCAATTTAATCAATATACGTAGGTAGATGCAATTAATCGAATTAGCAAATACGGATGAACGTAGTTACACGCGATAATATAGGCTATCGCGTTTTAATCATTGCATGAAAGTATTGCTGAAACGCAGCATTATTTATAAATCTTTCGTAAGCGGACATACCACCAAAATTCTTAAGGCAAATGCTACTTTTTTTTTAAACGGACCTACGTATCTTTTTTTAATTAGACCGCGTCAGCCTAGCCGGTCCCAAACGAGTTCACTGATCCAAGCTATACAAGTTTGCAAAACTCGAAGAAGAATTCCGAGATAGAACATCGGTGAAACGTACCTTCTTCGAAACATCGTACATCGTGAAAATAATTTCCATCCGATTCTATATACCTTTTATATCGATTAACTAATTCCGTTGCTTTAGACTTCTATAGTCGTTTTCGAGACATTCTACGCGTTATCGTGCATCGAGGTTCGGGTTAGGTTTTCCATTTTCCATTCTTTCGCCGTTGTTGTTCCCTAGTTTCAAATACGTGGCAACTGTTTCTCGATAATACGTTTCTGTCGCGATTACAATCCAAGGAAATAACGAATTAGCGACTAATGGGTTTGACACGTGGCTCGCATATTTATCTTTATCGTGCCATTGTCTCGGATATTTTTCTTTATCATAAGCGTAATCGATAAAATATCGTAAAAATAGATTTTATTCGTTCGATCTAGATATCAATTCTCTCGAGTTCTGCCCGTTATTAGCCACTAACGAGGAATTCCAAGTCTCGCGAAAGAGATAGAAAATCGAGTCGGGTCCGAAAACAATTACAAATCGACTGGAAACTGTCTTAAATAACAAACGATCTAAGAGTTTGAAAATTTAAACGTAGGCAGGAGGTCCGACGAGAGAAGTATAAATACGAACTCTTCTTCTTACTTCGACGCGCTACAGTCTCCTTTCCAGCACGTACAACAGGAATTCGCGTTTTAATTGAATTTCGTTCGATTGGAACATAAGCGATAGGATTTGATCGGCGATAATTAATTCGATCGAGCGTTATCAGAAATTTCATTGGAATAAATAAAACTCGTACGAATCGAATGGAATTTCGTATACGACGAGCCAACAAAAGGAAACGGCGTAGCAAATTATTATAGAGAATGCGGATCAGGTTTAGTTACTCGTGCGATGACCCGATGGCTTCAATTAGCCATCTCTGCTCTGTTAGAAGAGAGCGGGTTACTTCGTGGCGACGTTTACCCGCTATTGCTCGTCCGTCGTCGCACCCTGTCGTTGTCCTGTTCGTTTCTTCGCGACTCACGCGCTCCCTTCCATCGCTTTCTTTACTGTAAGTAACTGTACTACTACTGGCGTTTCCTGTATCTCTAAATTGGTAACGCGATCCGAGCAACGAACGAAGAACGGCCGATCGAACTGTATCGAAGGTCAGGATATGCCTGTTCCTCGATTTAGTTCCCTCGCCGTGTATTCCGTACGCGTCTAGAAGCTGGAATGTCTGTCTAGTCGAGGCGTACACGCGCCAAGGCATTCGGTGGTAACGACCGCTCGCCGTCCTTTCTTACGCTTCTTGCAGGCACTTCTTCAAACATCCTCCCGATGCTCCTTCAAACAGATCGTCCCGAACTTTCAAGTCCCGAACCGTCAAGTCGCACGGACATTGCGGCGTTTCCAAGTTTTCAGCGTTTTCCAGGCTCTGAGAAATCTATTCGCTTCTTATTTCCTTATTTCGCCGTTGTTTTCATCTTATAACTGTCCGCCTTTTCTTTTCAATTTCTTACGATTACTCCGACGTAGATAGCTTTACGCTGCTCTCGGGATCTCCTTTGAGAAATCGCTGTCGTTTTCCATAAGCCATAACAGAGAGACGTATCGCGACCCGATGCAGAACAAGCAAAGAATAGTTTTACGTTCGGATTCGTGCGAATATAGACCGCGTCTTGGCTTTAACCCTCGACAGAACCACTTTGTTTCGATCTCTCTAATGCAAGTAATAGATATTATGTACCGTGTAATTGTACTACGTGTAATTGTACGCGGAAACGAGCGGTGAAACTCGTGTACGCGCAGCTTTTGTCTCGATTACTGTTACTCGCCGATGCCACTCTTAATAATACCGCGATACAAACATTGAATAATAATGGCACGCGGTAACAGTAAGGCGATTGTTACGTTGTTTGATCGTAACAACGTAACAACCTTCTGCAACCTATAGAGACATCTTGGTTCGAAACTAGTTGCAATGCCAATGGTATACATAATACGACGATGCTTTAACGAAACCAATAGTATCGTTATTTTAGAGGAGCGAGAAGATGGAACGAGGCAACGATCCACGAATAACAGGTTACTTCTTTCCAACATGTGTCGTACGACTTTACATTTTGAAACGTGCTAGGTTTTTATCCAAAAATATTCAACGATACGGTGTGTATCTGCAAAGACAGAAGCATTCGTCGAGAAGATTTAAGAGAGAAAATTTCAAAGATCGATGGCAAAATCGATATAATTTCGTGCGTTGCGAGCCTAAAAGCAAGGACAGTATCAACATCTACGTCGAGACGTGAAATTCGATATTTTTCTTCTTATAGATCGTCATAAAGGTGACCATCAAATACTCGTCGTTTTTAACCGACCTCGCTCAGAAATACTTGAAACAAAGTTTAGATATAAGCGGTCTGATTACTAAATACCGTAATTTTACGAAATAATATTCCTGTTCTATTTGACGAAAGCAGCGAAGAAATATCTACCAGCAACACGGTTCTTTCGTCCGCTACGATAATTTCACTCGAGCTTGATTAACACTTTACCGAGCGATAGCCGATTAATCGGTTTGTTTGTCGCCGACAATCCTTCTCGTTATTCGAGCATTAGTTCGTTATTTAGCACCAAGGTACTTTGCTCAGGTGCGTCGCTTTGTAAGATCTCGCTGTTTTATACCAATTTGAAAAACGGTAGCGTTCGCGATGAACAAAAAGAACGGTATCGGAGCGTTTAAACCGAAACAGAGAGTCTAAAGGGAGAATCTGCGCCTGAGCTGCCGGTCGGGCGTGCGTATGCCGTTGAAACGTTAGCGATCGGTAAAGTGCTAAAACGTGCCTAGAACGTTAGATGCATCATGCCGCCACTGTCGAATAAGAAAATTCTGATCCCTACTCGCGCATACATAAAACATAATACATAATACATAAAACGCAACATAATTTAACCATAATTATATGGTAATTTCGCCATAATTTGACAAGAAATTCTGATTGAAATCGCAGGGGAGGGCTGTGTAGAGAAACCAGTGTCGACGTTATGGCGCAATTACGTTACCAGCAGCAGGCCGGACGTGTCGATGAGGTTGACGGTCACGAACGGCGGTTTGACCGCCACGACCAAGGATCACGGTTTGACGGAGTACTGGGCGCATAGGGTGACCTATTGCACGGCACCTGCTTCTCATCCGCGCCTCTTCGTCTGGGTCTACCGGCACGAAGGACGTAGGTTGAGGCCAGAGCTCAGGTGCCACGCTGCCCTCTGTAGCAAGGAGTCCACCGCCAGGAGGCTGGCCTCGACCTTGAACGCCAGGTTACAGCAAGCACTCCTAGAATTCCGACGGGACAAGGTCTCCAGACAAAATGCTAGGTAAGCAAATCGATCGCGTGTTATGCGTAAGTACGAAAGAGAACGGCGTGATCGTTGAAAAGAATTACGCGAAGAAGGACGCGAACAGATTCGCGGTATCGTAATCGGCATCGATCGATGTCGCCGTAGTCGAAACGAGCAAATTCGAATTTATCGGTCCTCCGATCGGTCCTCGTTATTCCTCATCTACGCTTATTCCTACTCATAGGAGTAAGGAATAGTCCTTTCCTCGTCACAAACGAACTTGTAGGGTAAGTTTTCTTTTTTTACTTTCCCGTTTTCTCTGCTATTAACGTTGCCTCAACGTCGACTCTCCGTCTCGCGGAAAAAGACGTACCCAATTCGATAAGGGAAAGAAGTTTTACGCATACGTTGCTCTTGGTCTCTTATTTCACGTTTGAAATCATCGTTGGACCCAGCACAAGTAAAACCCTCTATTACTACTTTTATCGAGCCGAGAAACGGTAACGTATACCCGTTTGTTTATTTATTAATCGTATCTTTTTAATTCCGATTAGCAGCTACGCACAACGTCTTATACGCTACGTACAACGTTCTCTTTTCTTGTTCTCCTTACTGATCGTAAGTCTCTGGATAATAAATAAATGGTATATAAAATAAAGTAATGGATAATAAATGAAAATAAATAAATAAAGTGTTCAGTGTACATAGCATATACTCGGCATATATTAGACGTAGCCCGTAAGAAAATCGAGGCCAGTGGATTCCCGCAGGAATTCGACGGCGGGGAAATCAGATGCACTGCGTGTGTGTGTGTGTGTGCCAGCATTGCCAGGCATTTGCCAGTCGACAAGAGCTACCGTAAGACCGTAACCTCTCGCTGAAGAGACAATTTGGGTCGCGTTCGTAGAACACGATCGCAGCAATCGAGTCACGATTCGGGTCAAATTCGATCGTTCGACAACGCGTATCTAACCGAATGTTTCGAAAAAGAAACGATCACGACGATAGTCGTTTTCCTTTAAATAATATCGGAGATTTATGTTTTCGCACGATCAAAATCCCGATCGATTGTTGCAAATTACAGATGCTTGTCCCGAATGACAGAACTTTGAGCCGGATATCGGGAAGCTAAGCTGGAAACGGGAACGATGCGCTGTTATCTGCCGTTGCTGTCGAAGAAATTAAAAGTTTCTTCGTTTCTCGAGTAATTTTATTGAAAATGCGCTAATGATAATTGTATCGATTTCCAAGTATAAATGATTTTGTGGCAGAGCGTAATTTCTCTTTGGGCAAGCCAAATACTCAAAATTCGATAGATACGTGTACTTGGACTCTACTGTCACTGACCGCCGATACAAGTAACCGCCTCGAAGAAAACACGTAAACTAAAGCTGTGCTTTAGCTTTTGGCGAAAACGGTTCCATATATAAGCATTGAGACACCGACTCGTTTCAGACCAAACGTAACAATTATTTGAAATTATCAAAAAATCGAACGATCGACCGTGATTTTGTATTCGTGTAAGATAACGATGCACGAATTTTATAACAACTATTTCTACGTGTTACGAGAGGAACGTAATACCTATCAATAACCACGTATTGACCAACTGAAATTAATGTCTTTTTTTTTTTTTTTTTTTTTTTTTTTTTAGAATGTAATTTTGTATTTGCGAGTAATTTAGATATTTAGATATTATTTTTATAATAATTTAGATTTTTTCACGCTGTTATAGAAAAGGGTGATAACGCCAAGTGAGGGGACTAAATCTCTAAAACTGTGAACATCGTTTTCTTTTTTTTCAGATTATCGCTAGCAAACGCTCTGTATGAGAACCCTTCCTTACCACGACGAAAGCTACTTCTCAGTATCGGAGGCCAGAATTACCGACCTCCCCTTGAGAGATCGAAAAGCGCGCCGAAATTATCAGCGATCGAGGAAGATATCGTCGCTGAGGAAATAGAGCAGCAGAGGATCCTCGAAGAGTTGAGGACACTAGAGAACGTGGCGCACAGTTGGCAAGATCAAGATAGTTGGAGGCTCGCTCGATTACTCGATGCTCTGAATCGCGAATCTTCCGACGAGAACGGAAGTATTTCGAGCGGGTGTGAAACAGCCAGCACCGCGACCAGCGAAGAAAGAGCTCCAGGTCCGGAAGATCACCATGCTACAGGTATATCAAAATCAAGTTAAATCTCTTAATTTTTTCAATTTTGCCTTTTCTCTCAAATATATATGTACGTATACGTATATATGTATAATGAATCGGGCGATGAACCTAGCTAAAAGATAATACGATGAATTTAAAAATATATAGGTATAAAAGCGAATTATCGTGAAATTAATTGTTTCAAAATTAAGGAAGATCGTTAAAGAACTTTGAACTTTAAAAACTGATACCGAGATACTGAGAGACAAATTTGAGTAGAAAAAGATAAACTATATAGGTCGGTTAAACTTGGTTCAGATTATCCCCGATTACATACATCGACTATCTTATTAATATAAAGTTTATCTTATCTAACAATCGCTAATATAACGTATTAGCATAATGACCGAGCTGTGACTAATTTTTCTAACAATTTTCAACGTACCAAGGTATCTTCTTCCGACGATCCACTTGCCTAGTCCCTAGACCGATAATTTCTTGTTCTTTTTTCACGTTTTTCAAACCCGTTAAAATTAATGTAACAGAGATATAGCGAATAGAAATAGAAATACGGTCGAGTTACTTGAACTCGAGCAACTGGAAGCGGAATAATTCGGCTAAATAATCGGAACCAGATTACTCGAGATCGTCGGAGATACGAATTACTATAGCCACGTTTGCTCGTTCGTAAACTATCGTAACGTAACGCGCATACATTACAGGTGAGACAACGGAACAGCGAATAGACAGAAGAGTGATGTTCTCGGATGACGCGGTCGTAAGAGGTGCAGGTCCCCGAAGAAATTCCGAAGGTTCGCCAAACTTCATGACCTGTGCCGGAAGTCCGCGTTTTCACCGTCGAAACACGGTGCACACCGGTCGTGAAAGGTTTCCACATCGGAACGAAGAGGACGAATCGATGGAGGAGGAGGAGGAAGAGATAGAGGATCCTGCGTCGCATGTGTTCGATTTCGAGTACGTCGAGGACTTTGACGACGTGGTGGATTATAGACCAAGAGGCGAGATATTGTGCAGGTTGGACGACCCGCAGGATAGAGAGAGACGAGTGATGGAAAAGTACCCTGGCAGAATGAGTCACGACTTGCTGCAAAACGACGACTCCCCTTTCTTGACTTTGGACTCCTTGGACGAGGAAGTGGACAGCGACGAAAGCGGCTACGTCGAGGCACCGCCAAAGTCTTTATTGGGCCAAGACGACCGCAAAGAGGACGAAGAGACGAATAATAACAACGGTCGCGTGGAATCGGGTCAAAATCAGACCGGGTCACCCGGTCCTGACGTCCTGAGAGGATCGAACGCGGAGGAAAGTGCAAAAACGAAAAACGACGATTCCAAAGAAACGAAAAACGCGAAAGACGCGAAAGACACGAAAGAAGAAGCGGAAATGGAAGAGCAAGTGGAATCGAAAGATTCTATGCTGACCGTGGAGAATAATCAGAGGATCAAAGAGAAGGAAAGGGAGAGAGCCGATTTCATCAAGTGTCCTATTTCAGAGACTATAAAGAAACTGGCGAACGCGTCGCTGAAAAGCTCCAAGTCCTTAGAAATGACTACGAACAACTGTTTGAAAGCTTTGAATAATTTAAAGACGTCAAAGTCGTTGGACGGTGTTAAGCCGGCAGAGATGGAAGGAGAGTCGCCGAGCCTTCATCAAAGGAAACAATTGCTCGCCCAACAAGGCGTTATCGTTTAAGAGCTGGTCCAAATAAAAAATAAGAAACACACGAACGAAAGACGAAAGCCCGAAAATTCTTAAATATAGGTTTACTCTGACGCGATCGTCCACCTATCGATCAACGACAGGCCAATCTGTACATCGCGTATTACAAACTCGTAACGTTGCCGCATTCGTTAGACAATTTTTAAACTTAGATAGAAAACTTTACCGAGAGATAATAATCGAGGAGTTGGTTTTGTCTCGATCGATAAAGGTCTTTGGTAAACCGTTGTGCCCGTGTTATTGATTTAACAGAAACGAAATGCGGCTTCGAGTATCGTGAGAATATGTAACGTTAGAACTTGCGAGGATATACGTACGTTGCTCTATCGAATTGTCGACGATTAAACGATTTTTTCAAGAAATCCGTGTAATGAGAAGTAAGTTTAATCGGAATCGACCGTCGAGTTGGGTGCACTGGCGATCCGTGATTATCAAGTTGGGCTTGACGCGCAGGATCGTTAGTTGCACCGCTATAGTATGGACAAATTGAACGTTAAGCGGGCTACTCTTGCGGAGCATGGTACAATTATTTACGATTTATTACGATATTTATATCGATTTACGGGCGTGTACTTGGAAGCAATATTTTTCGAAACGTATAATGGGTTAAAACGTATAATTGGTTAAAAGAGCCAAGCTTTCGGCAAATATAGAATTGATAGAATCGATCGTCGCAAGACAACAAAGATTCGCACAAAACAAATACTTTGAAAACAAACAAAAAAATCCGTTTTATAAATACACTTAAGAAACGTTAATAATTGTAAATTGTACTTTACACTCATTTTAAAAATAGAAGAAATTTCTTAACTAAAAGTTACTTCGTAACTTTTCGATTCGAACGATTAAAATAATAAAGTTGACGAACTTTGTTGCGATAAACTGCGTAACGCTAAATTTAAATCCACGAGCTTCGTGCTTGCCGAAAATGAGATTCAAATCGTATTCGGTGCTAGTCGCATAGCGCAATAATAATTCGAGCATTCGAACTGTCACGTTTAAATTTATAATACACGGTTCTTAAACAGCACCTGCCACACGTATATCCGATACAGTACGTACGTTTCTTCGTACTTTTAACAAAAGAACTCTACTCTGTTATCGATAAACCGTTAAGAATAATTTGGACCGAACACTTTGATAGTTACGCGTGTATCTCAGATGGAAGCTAAACCGCTCGTGTACCATGCTACCAACGATGCGAAAGAATCCCAAATATATTGTCACCATTGCTGTACAAGAAAGATTCGAAGACCAATAAAATGGACAACGATTCTCGAAAGTCTAAAGCTCTTGTACTTTTCTTCGTTTCATCAGCCGGATAACCGCGGCAACCTGCTCTTAAACTCGCAGAGACTCGCATTCGGCCAAGTGTCGTGACCGCTACGAGTCGCCCGATAATTACAGATCGCGTGCAAAACCGGCAGAAAACGCGAATCACGGCGCTTCACGGTATACACAGCTCCTGTGGATTCGGGTCGATCAATAGGACAGAGACGCAGGCGTCTCCATAGGTATCGCAAATTCCTCCGCAGGGTCAATTCTTCGAAACGTTACACAGAAATTGTTTATTACTATTTCTTAACTTTTTTTCATCTTTTATGAAATTTCTTACTCTATGAAAATATCATTTCTACGAGATACTATTTTACGAAAATATCTTTGTATAAAATTTCTATCGAATTCTAGCAATACGGAATATAGGCTGCTGCTATTTTACCAAATTACGATTAGTTGAATCGATAAGGACAACGCACGCATATTTATGCCACCTATCCTGTATTTCTATACGAATTCGTTGCAAGAATAATAATAAAACATCCTTCCAACCATGCGTAGGCCGATACTACTTTACTTGCCGATAGTAAAGACACAGATCGTTCATTTAAATTTTCACTTTCGCGATAGCATCTGTACGAATGCAAAAAGCCAGACGTAAGACGAGGATTTCATCGCACAGAGATTCATGCGAATTTACCGCATATATGATCGCCGGACATCTTTCAGCATTCCCTTGCAACAACGTCCGATGCGGAACGTCCCCGTCAGATGGCAGCAAATGTGCTTATAACCACCTAGCCGATATTCAAAAATCGTTTACGATTCGAAATACATTTATATTTACTACTACTATTTAATACTATTATATCATAATTTGTCGCTTATTTCGTTGTATCGATCGGCACGAATAAATCGTTCTTTCCAATTTGAAATGTAGAACGACGGTCGAAGAGAAGTTTATAATGTAAGAAACCTTCAACCGTACCATAATGTTGCAAAGTGGATTTATAGTTAGTAAGAGCAACGAATAAATACAACGTATATCGCAGAATATACGATCGCTACGAATACGATAGAAAACACGTGCATCGAAATGTCTAAATATCGAGTAACAATATAGGAATACGTACAAAGGAAAGATAAATTAAATTTTCATTTACGCCGTATCCATTTATATCGTATAACTGTATTTTACGTTACTGCATGCCGAACTAACGAGCCGCGTTACATTAACAGCTTCTTTAATCAAAATGTACAAATCTACGTTTCTTTCCATATACATACAGCCAAATATATACGATATGCGATATACGGGAGGAAATATCGCACGAACATGTTTCACGGAAAATTTGCAAACACCTAAAACTTGTTCAACTTTTCCCCTAACATCTTACAGTCTACTAGTACTAGTATAAAGTCGGTTTAAATATGCGGCAGCAATGCGAACAATGCGAAAGCAAATAGGGGCAATTCGATATCGAATGTGCGACGACAGCGAAACGGTGCTTGCATCCAGTCAAGATCAAGGTACATACCTCGTCGAGTCTCGTTTCGAGTCACAGTTCTCCATGGATACGATAGCGCGTTGGTTTGCGCTGCTCACGCACACCTACGTCTCTCGTCCATGCGACCTACTAACTTATCGAGCCGCGCGCACACTTGTATACGGATGTGCATTCAGCGTGCACGCTACAAATCCTACATAAATGCACGAACAGAACCCAGGATCTGTCCCTTTTCCCCGCTTAACTTTCCATTTACGTATCCTTCGTTCTTTTAATTTCCCTTAAACGTAACAGCGACACTGTTTTTCTCACTGTTTTTCTCCTCGCTTCGAACAAACGAATATTTCTTACACGCAACAGACATATCCGGAAATCGATCGTCCACAATTAATCGTTGTTATAACGATATTTATTAGATCAACGACCCTTCCCCGGTCACTTACAGGGATTTCGTCGACTGTATTTAACATTTAGAGAGCGTTGATTTCAAGCGATCTTCGAGTAATTCAAAACGCTAAATTCGATTAGCAGACATCTTATACTCTATACATAGATCCGTATACGCGGTCGCAGCGTCGAGATAATTCATAACAAAACTTTTCCATCCTTCTTCTACCAACGACTACTCGATTAACGTAGATTCCAGTCTACGTGAGTATAGGTAAATCAGCGCACGACCTATAGGAAATCTAGCATCCTATAGTTATCTACGAGCTACGATTTGAACGACTAACCTTTACATAGACTTTCGAGCTGTCTCGTTGCACACAGATTTCGGCATACAGGTCCACTCGTTTCACCCATACCAACATGTCCATGTTCTCCGGTTCATCTTACACTCATACGTACGCGTGATGTATGGTATGGTAACACGACGTTACATACAGATACATGCAGGTACTACATATATGCAGGTAGCGTATATCGGAGGGGCACGTCAGGCCCCCTGACAAACGATGGAGGGGGTCCGTGGGGTCCCATAGAGCGGCGAGTAGCTGGTTGGGGCCCGCACCCATACGCGCA